CAGTGGTTGCTAAAGTGGAGTATGTGAGACAGTTAATTGGGGTATGGGAACAAATCATCAGAGCTCTTATTTATGTCATTTCTTTAACATTAAAAATTTAACTTCTGAACATTCGCTAGATAGAAGGACATGGGTGCCTTGCTTGTTTCATACATCAGATGGGCACTTGTCACCTGGGGAAAGAATGGGCCTGCCACAGCAAGACGAGTGACAGCGTTGCTCTCATTGGCTGTGCTTCCAGTTAAAATGTGTTTGCTTAGGGAATTGCAGGTTATATTGCATAATTCTGAACCTAGCCATCACAAAATGGGCAGAGAAAATAAGGGTGGAAGGCCTTTGCAATGAAAATTAAATCTTTTCATCAGCCACAGTATGATGTTCTAGCAAGGACCATTTGATTAACCTGGCAGGAAGCTATCCAGAAAATCATAATTATATAAAATATATATTTGTATCTACAACAAGAAAACCTTTCTAAAGATACATATTATACTTTGAGGTTTTGACTAATGCTCACAAAGTTGTTAAAGTTGTTAGCAAGATAGTTATGAAAATGTTTCATTTCATCTTAAATTTGTATAAACTTTGAATTATCCTTTTAAAATACATATTTTTGTTTATGTTTTACAGTGTACATGATATATTGTCACAGTACATATGTAATTTATAAATGTACATATAGTGGGAATGCATCGCAAAGCTTTTTAATGAATGGGTGTGTGAGCGAAAAAGTTCAGAGCATAAATGCTTTTCAAATAATTTAAAGATATGAGGTTCCCATTTTTTCAATGTTGTATTATTATTTTAATTACATAATTTACATTCTTACACATTATCTTGTTATAGTGCCCTGATGTTAAGTAATGCTATAGGTGACTTTTCCAGTTAAAATCAAATAAAGTGAAGTAGAATGGAATTATTCAAATTATAGAATCAATCATTGTCAGTGGAAAATATGTTCAATAACCAAGATCTGTGGAATTTAATAATAATAATTCAACTCATTTGTGTGGAAGCCGGGTCTAAATCAAAGAGAGATAGGAACTATAAAATATTCTTTAAGAAGTGCTTCTTTAATAATTTTGAGGACAGATAAGAAGAAACCAAGTTAATTGTGTTTTAGCAAATCTTTTAAGTGCCTTCATTTAACAGATAGCTGAGAATTATTTATCATTACTCTGTCCATTGTTGAATTAAAATTACCAAAGTGGTGCTTGAGAATGGTCTTTTTCTGTTACACATTTAAATAGGCTAGACATATGCTTTGTTTATGCCATTAATTTGTTTTCACACAGCCTGCAAAGGTAACCAACTCAGAATTAATTAGTGGAATCAAAATTAATGAGGGTTTACTGTACTGGGCCATTTCCACTGTAGGCCAGTTTTCTTCACACGAGTTGGACTAGCATTTTCTTGAAAGAAGAAAAATTAGATTTATTTTAATCCATATTTAAAAAGCAGAGAACCATCTTTTCTGGCGAGTTAAGTACCTCTAATAACTATGCTTTCTTGGACTTAGTAATATTGATTTTTTTTTGTTTTCAGTCTTCATTATTTTGGCTATTTCCAGACTATTGCTTATTACAGTAAAGCTAGAGTTAACTCTTCAGATGCTTATTTTCATTTACAAGGACAATTTATCATGCTTATTTTGGATCATTTTTGTGTGGATGGAGCGTGTCATTTGCCAATTTTCATCATTATTGCACTATATGAAAGAACAGAGCTATTCTTTAAAACATATTTATGTAAACATATATGTTAGAGAGAACCCATCATCTGGAAACAAAAAGGTAGAATTTTTGAAATTATATTTGTTTCCCTTAAGAAAATTACATCCTGTAATCTACTTTTTATTTAAAGTAGAACCTGTGGTATTATTTAATACTTGGTTTCACGTCCTTTATTTTTACTAATGAGAGTGATAACATGATGTAGAGCTTTGAAATCTTTTTATGAGGATGGATGGCATTTTCTTGAATTGTTGAAATTGTCCACCTGCATATAAATGGGGAGGGTGAAAGTTCTGATAGTGAACTTCTCCTGAGGAGTTGATGCTGAAGGTCAAGTTTCTCATAGGAACGGGGAAGCCTTTTTTGTTTGTTTCCTTAGTGTCTGCAGTTATAAACTGCAGCAAGAGATATTTGGCAGACAGAGAGGGAGTGCGCAGCTCGGTGGTTGTCAGTTTTCTTCGATCTCAGATGTTGTGACCTACCAATACACCGTAATTTGAGGAACACTAAACACAGTAAAGAATATTGGTAAACATATACCTTATTTTTTTAAAGGAAAAACAAACTTCACCATGACTCATTCCTCATTTTTTCTACTCTGAAAAGGAATGGCAAGAGCATATGTGAACATTAATGAAATGATGGTGGACTTGGGACTTGCAAGTAGGTTAGTTTAGGAATATGCCTTTAATTAAGAATTAGCTAATTTTAAACATTTTGGAGAGTTTGTGAGTTGAAGTAACAGAGTCAAAAGTAGTGACAAGTGTATGTACCGTGACAGATCCGTGCTTGATTAAAGGACATGAATAGAGGAAAAGTAATGCTGTTTAGGAATTTTTTTTTACATTTTTTAAAATTTTCAATTACAGTTGACATACAATATTATAGTAGTTTCACGTGTACAACATAGTGATTAGACATTTATTTAACTTTTGTAGTGATTACCCCGTAAGTCTAGAACCCATCTGACACCTCACATAGGTATATTACTGTAGGAATTATTCTTTTAGTTAATCATATACAAAGAAAAAGATCCCTGTTAGATGTATTTTTTCTGACTAGAGAAATATATAAAGTGACCACTTTTTGGCAGATTGGTGTTGCAAAATAGGAAATAGCAGTTAACTATTAATGTAGCAAACCACCTCTTCTTTAAGTTGAGTGATGGCTATATTTGATAAATACAAAGTTTGCTCTAATGGTAATCTGTAGAAATGCACAGCCTCCATTGTATTATCTTTGGTTAGCAATTTATATCTGGTGAAACTCATAAATATTTTATGTAGTGTGACGTAACTGAAAATAAAGGCATATATTTTTTACCCTGTGTTATTCTGCCATCATCGCCTATATTTAAATGAATTTTTTGTAGTTTGCCACTTTATTTCAATTTAGTGCTTAATTATAAAGTAATTATTTTGTGCCATAAGTCAGCTGCCCCCCATTCCTTAATATTTTTTTTAAAGAAAGAAATCATGTTTTATGTTTCAATTGAGTGCTTATCAGGAAACATGGAATAAGTAAGCTTAATAAATGCTTGTTTAAGAAACTCCTATATGATGTTTTAATAAAGGTTTTTAACATGATCTTTCTGAACCTAGTTTTAACTTTTAAAATTAGTAAATTCCAGCTGTGTTTATTACAGTATTTAAGACATTCATAAAACAAAAAGCACAAATAAAGCTAACATAGAATAAAAGAATGAAACACCTGAATTTAAGAAAAAAGTACATAGTTAAATCTTAGTATCTGTACTTTATTAATGTTCTGCTTCATTCAAAAATTGATTTTAGGCTGTTTGAAAAAATAAACATTATTCAGTAGGATTAGAAATAAAGCTAATCATGGTGAAGAAAAAATGAGAGTAGAAAGTAGATGAGACCACTGAGACTCTACATTCAGAAATGTGTTCCCAAGATTTTGTACTGTTATGGATAGAAAATTGAGACCTAAGTTTCTTAGTAGCCAAAACGTAAGAGGAACCAGTTATAGCAGTTTTCCCCGAAGTGTGTTCCTTAAAAATTATGTCTTGTAAGATTACCATAGTCACATAAACTGGAGATGAGTGATGCTGTGTCCCCCTTGTACAGATAATTATATTCACACTAGCATGTTAGAGACTCTTGGAAGTTCTGTGGATAAAAACAGTTGTAACTTTCGTTTCCCATGTACATTTGACTACCCCCTTTCCCTCCTTTTTGTTTTTGCATCTGGTATCTGTCAACGTCTCTCATTCAGTGAGATAGACCCATCAGTGAGCTATTGTTCTTTAGCTAAGAACAGGCTGCTTTGCTTAAGCAAAGCCCAGCAGGGTGAGATGTTTCCCCTTTGGGTGCACAGAAGGGATAGGTGTATATAATGCAGTGGGCCCTGTCCTCAATAAGTAGCCTCAATATGTACAATCATGAGTTTCAGATGGCTGTTTTCATATGATTTCATCTTAGTATGAACTAAAAGCGTAATCTACAAAGTCACTCAAAAGTTAAGTTTTAAATTGCTTATAAATTGTCTCAAAATTTAAAGACTAATTTTTAATTGTCCAGGTTGTGGATTGGTTCTCTACTGCTGGTGAAAAATCTTTACCATCTTTGTTCGATTATTTATATTTCATCTCATTCTAAAAAGGACTTGAAGGGTGAAAACTAGAGATGAACAGAAAATCACAGCAGAATATTTAATTGGCTATTGTGTGTCAGTGAGGTGGTGCGCGCCTGCTGACATTACAGACGGAAGCTGTGAAGCACATCCACAGATAATACTGAGTATCTGCGGCTCTTCAGAAGTGATTGTGGCAGAGGGACCGCGAGGGCATTGTTTTTGAGCAAAGGAGCAGGGAAGAGCATGGGTCTAAATGACAGTCACAGACAGAAAGAAGCACCAGAGAAAGCAGCCCTGGCAGCTAACAAAGGGAAGTTCACACTGTGGGAAGGGAACACATAATAACAGATCAATTTTTCCCCTAGCTTTGCCTGCCCATATAGAGCAATCATTTTTGTAAGGTCATCTTCGCATTTGAACAACAGATTTTCCAAAGCATCTTTCCCACCTTTAATCTAGGATTATTATTTTTTTTTTTAGTGTTGTGATGATTGAAGTGGGTGTTTTATGTATAATATAAAGAAACATATTTTCAGCACAACCAAATATTGTGGTTGGTTTTTCAGGAGTAGTGATGGTATGATTAGTTTTGGTTTAAGTTATTGAGGATAGGATCCATTTTACTCTTAATTTGATCTACATGTAATTAAGGTTTATGCTTCTTTTCAGGCAAGAGTACAGCACTGCGTCTGCTCCGTAGCCAGTGACCACTCAGTGGGACTCCTAAGTTTGCGAGAGAAAAAATGCATTATGCTGGCATCGCGTCATCTTTTCCCTATTCAAGTGATTAAGTGGAGGCCTTCTGACGATTACCTAGTAGTGGGATGTTCAGATGGCTCTGTGTACGTCTGGCAAATGGATACTGGTAAGATCAAGTGTTAAGAGAGAGACTTGAAAATAAAATGGGTACATTTGATTTCTTAGAAGTTGAAAACGGTTTATATGAGGAGAAAAGCCTCAAAATTTAACAAGATCACTACTTATATTTTTAATCACTGCTTTTTCTATGTGTTGTACTATGCTAAATGCTTGTAGTTGGCCAATCTTTAAAGGAATGTAACTGAAGACAGTATACACATTAGGACAGACATACAAATAACAGACCAAAAAATCAGTGATTCTGTATAATTCATGAGGCAAAATGTGAGCAAAATGAAGAAACCATTTTTGTCTCATATTCAGCAATAGAGGAAAAAAGAAAACCCTCTTTTATTTGAAAAGCAGAAAAGCAATATGGGGCAGTTAATTGTAGGAGGTGATTGAAATGAAAGTTTCAGGTTCTAAAGAGAACATTTAAAGTTTCAGTTTCAAAGATTTTATGTATAGGGCATACTATAGAACAAGTATTGCTTAGCTTAAAAATATAGGCAATGATCTATCATGTTAAACATAGAATCTCATAGTTTCCCCTGGGAAATCTTTAAGCATGTAGGTAAATGTGTTTATTAGTTTAGGCTTTAAAAACATATTTTATTCTACTTTTACTCACTTAAGTAATCATGTACCAGTAATTAAAACTTTTCTTTTCATTCCTAGTTGTACTATATAATATTTCTACTAAATGTTTTTCCTTCATCTTTTTTTGGTTGTTTTTTTTGGGTTTGTTTGTTTTAAATAGTTCTTTTTGAAATCAGATTATATATACATTTCTGCCTGCACTGTGGTGCAGTAGGAGTTCTCTTAAAATTTTTTGGAACAAATAGCCATACTGTCAGCGCTTTTTTTCTTTTAGAGTTCTCATTTTAACAGATAGTACGAAGGCAGTCTTGACAAGATGAAGCATTCTTGGAGACTGTCTGCTTTTGCATTTATCTTTTTTTTTCTTTTTTATCTAATAGAATAAGAGAGTCATACCTTTTGTCAAATTTTAAAAGCACAGAAGTATTAGAAAAGATGAACCAAGATTACATTGCTGAGTGGTAAAGGTTATCATTTTAACATGTTTCTTTATAGTCTTCTGTACATTTTTATAACCAGAACTGCTGTCATACTACATATGCAATTTTATATGCATAAAGATCTTACGTTTATGTCCTTTTGGTTACATAAGGACCTGTTGTGCAGCACAGTTTTGTGTTTTCTGATTTCATCCACCCCACCAACTAACTATACAGAGCTTGTCTCGGACTCTAGAGTCAGACCACTTGGTTTGAATTTAGAATTGGCCACTTACTAGCACTGTGACCTACAGCAAGTCATCGATTGGACTTTTGTCCCTCAATTTTATCTGTAAAATGAAGATAATGATAGTTCTTATTTTATAATGTTACTGGGAGAATAAAATGACATAGTATTTACCTGGTGAGTATTAGACATAATGTAAGTGTGTATATGAGTATGTTTGTGTACAAGTAAGTTTCTTTCTATGTGTACATGCATGTGTGTTATTAAAGAAACATTCTGCTTAACCTTTTGTTTTGTTGAACTTGGGAATATGACCTTGCTCATACTTAGAAATATGTTTTTGGGGAATTAGTATTAAAGAGAGTTCTTATAGCAATAATGACATTCATAAAATGCTCTTAAAATACATACTATAAATATTAAATTAACAGTTGTTATATCTTAAATACAAAACTATGGTAAACTTGTCTTGGACTTTTAAAAATGAAATAAATATGATAAAGGAGATAGTATAATTTTCTGAATTTTTCAGATATATACTTAAATAATGATACTTGAATATTTCAGATACTTTAAATTGTATATTCTTTTTTATTTTTTATTCTTTTTATTTTTAAATATGTTTTTATTGATTTTAGAAAGGGAGAGGGGGAGAGAGAGAAACATCGATGAGAGAAACACCTGTCTGCTGTCTCCTGAACACCCATACTGGGGATCAAGCCTGCAACCTGGGCATGTGCCCTGACCGGAAATCGAACCAATGACCTCTCTGTGCATGGGACGATGCTCAGTCAACTGAGCCACACAAGCCAGGGCATATTATTTTTGGTTTTTATTATTTTTTATTGTTGACAGTGTTACAGATGTCCCCCATATTCCTTTTTAAATTTTATATTCTTGACAAATGAAACCTTACTGAAAGACAAAGTTACTTTTCCAGTGACTTCCCTGGAAGGAAATGACAAATGGCCTCTAACTATAGGTATGCTGGAGGATGTTATTCTTATAACCAGTTTAGTATAATTAAGCCCATAGTAAATTATACAATATATAATACTGAATTCACAATTCTGACCTTCAGGAGGATTTTTGGTAAACTATTAGTCAATATGACAGTCTTAAATTGAGTTAAGAATGAAGAAGCAGAATTTATTTTGGATGTCAACCATAATAGGAAGTATACATTCTTTTTCCCGCTTTGCTGTTCAGACTTTAACTAGTAATATAAAGGTCTCTGGGGAGTCAGTTAGGCTCATCCTGAAGGTATTGACATTATTTATTTATTAATTAATTTATTTATTAAATAAATTAAAAATGAATCTAAATAAGTCAGTTTCAGTCCAGGTTTGATGTATGAAATGTATTTAAACTCAGAGGAGATACTTTTTCCCTCTTAGTGTTTTGGGAATGTATTTTTACAAATGAAGCTATATTACACTAAAACTACTCATGCATATTGTATAAATTTCTGTTTGCCATTAAATTGCTTTATAGCAGGGGTGGGGAATGTACGACCTGCTGGCCGAATACCTCCCGAGAAATCTTTTGGTCAGGCCCTGCCATCACGTTAGGGGTGAGCTAATTAAATGTTTGACCAAATATAGCAGGCTAATTTTTACGTTGATAATTTTGTATGGCCTGTGAATGATGCAATAAATATCCAAATGGCCCTTGGCAGAACAAAGGTTTCCCACCTCTGCTTTGTAGGAAGGAGCTTGCACCTTAACTTAGACAAGAAATGTACAGATGGAGATAAATGGGAAGAAGCTTTGAATTGGCTGTAAGCTGAAGCAATGATTTCCACAAACATGCTAGGAAACCTTTGGTTGGGTGTTAAGAATGAGAGTCAAGAAATATGCAGGTAGAATGAGAAGCTATATTTTCTCCCTGTTCTGTGGAGATTTCCTAGGGAAAGAAAAGCTTCAGGAGTTGTTCACATAGAATAAATTGGAAAAATTGCGAACTTAGTTTTTTGTTTAAGATTGATATACAACTTAGAGGAAGGTGAAGTCGTAGAATTCGATGTTTGTGGTAGAGTGATGGTGTGGACTGGTCAAGGAGACCATCTTGGAAGTGTAAAGAAAGTGGAAAAACCTGGGGAAGTCGTTACAATCTTGGCTCTGAACTTGATTCTGTTGGGAAGTTGTGGTAGGGACCTTATGGGAGAGGAAATGATAAAGGTAATGCTACCTGGGAGATCATTAGAGGAAGGAAGTACAAGAAAATGTTTCTGGGAGGCACTGTTAAAACATATTTCTACCTAAAACATGTCCCTGCTTTTTTTGTCTTAAACTATTTAAAATTTTATGGTGTGTGTAATATTTGTGAATATATGTCTTGCAGGTGCATTGGATCGTTGTGTGATGGGGATAACAGCTGTAGAGATACTGAATGCTTGTGATGAAGCAGTTCCTGCCGCAGTCGATTCGCTTAGTCATCCAGCAGTAAACCTAAAGCAAGCCGTGACGAGACGGAGTCTTGCCGCCCTGAAAAACATGGCCCATCATAAGCTACAAACCCTTGCAACTAACCTCTTGGCGTCAGAGGCATCTGACAAAGTAAGTTTTGTATATGGGCTCATGTGTGTAGCCCCCTTTAACTTCATTTAGTAACATACTTCAGCATGTCTTAGGAAATGATATTGGGAGATGACACTGGTGAAAAATAAGCTTCTGGTTGTAATTTAGGTTTAGCCAACATAGTTTTGGATATTACAAGTATTTGTCATTTTGAAAAAGTAAATTATTCTTACCATTAAAAATACTTTAACATGATTGCTGCTGAATTAAATGACTTCAGTTCCTGAAATTACAGCAGATGTTTTTTGTTTGTTTTTTAACTTTTTTTTTTTTAAATATATCTTTATTGATTTCAGAGAGAGGAAAGGAGAGGGAGAGAGAGGTAGAAACATCAATGAGGAGAGAGTCATTGATCGAGCCTGCAACTGGGTCATGTGCCCTGACCGGGAATCGAACCCCAATTGCCTGGATCCTAGGTCGATGCTCAACCTCTGAGCTATGCCCAGCCAGGCAACAGCAGATGTTTTATATATAATCTGTCCTTTTGACTTTCGGNGAGAGAGTCATTGATCGAGCCTGCAACTGGGTCATGTGCCCTGACCGGGAATCGAACCCCAATTGCCTGGATCCTAGGTCAATGCTCAACCTCTGAGCTATGCCCAGCCAGGCAACAGCAGATGTTTTATATATAATCTGTCCTTTTGACTTTCGGACAGTCTTCCTTTTGAAAAATTGAGCACTAGCTAACATCTCCATGAGAAAAACACAATAGTTTAGGTACACAATTAAGATGTCTGTAATTATGGCTTACCAACTTGTTTTAAAAGTGGGTTCTGATTTCAGTAAAATTAGGCCATTATGAGGATTGAAGAAAACATTTGAGACTAGGTGTGGTGGACTTGCACAGGGGATGGCATTTTTATGTGAGACCCAAGCTCAGTCACACATTCCTGCTGACACTCAAAATCAAAGCATCATTTCTTTTTCAGTTAAAACATTATCCTACTAAAAGAACAAACAATCCCAGTCCATTAATTGGTTATTTACCTTTATTTTTGTAGGGACTAGCCACTGTTTGGTTTGCAGTATTTGTGCTCTGTGGTATTATTAGAATTAGTTTGTCTCTGGTAATGGATAAATAAAGCCTAGAGGCAACTCCAATATTTCATCTGAGTCACTACTTAAAATTTCTAGTTCCATCTAAGTATTCATTAGAATTATTAACAGATAACACAAATACTTTTATTTTCATTCTCCCTTATTCCTGATTTCCTTTTTTAAAATATTTTGACATATGAATAAATAGTGAAGATGTTGAAATGCTGAGCTGCAAACTTGAAAATTTGCCCATGAATTAGTTGAGTGCTAATGATATTTGAAATACTATAGGCAGCTCCAACGTCCCATGCCCTTCAGTAATTGACAGTAATATTTGATCATTCAGTTTTTCCCCCACAGATATAAATATTTTATTGGCTTTGTTATATTGTATATTTCATAGATTAGAATTATGAGGCCCTTCTGTGCTTTTTTCCATGCCTTCATTGTCATTCTCTAAAGTTTGAATGGAAATCACAGCTTAAGTGCATTCGCCATGCCTGTAATTTTTTTCAGGGAATCTTATAAATGTCCCTAGGAATTCAGTGTTCATAGCACATTTATGTTCTATATAATTTTACTTTTGAGCACATTCATAAAACAGTATTTTCAAGGGCAAACATGTATATGTAATATCCAAACATATTCTTTCTCTTGTTGGTATCCCTTAGAAGTAAAAATTTCAAAAAATAGCTATATAACTGGAAAATTAAAGAAAAAGAAGTGGTATGGTAACATTTATGAATGGCTTTTGTAAGTGGTCATGGTCCATTATGTGATTTTTACAATCTTGTTTGTCCCTGTTTTAATAGCGCATTTTATAGTGCAATTAGTGATAAAAGCACCAGATATCAGAGACACTACACTTATGTATTGTAAAATATATTGCTTGTGAACCTCCTCAGTCTTGTAGCAGTGGTAATTGTTGCCTGGCCTACAAGGAAAACAATTATAGGAGGGGGAAAGGCTAGGAAGCTGAGGCTGCAGGAGGATAATCACTTTATGAAAAATGTATGTTGGCTGGACCATTAGGGATTTCTCTAACTATTTTCTCATGTTGAATCTGAGGCCTCTTTTGAGGGGGATATTTAAAGAGCTGTCCTCTGGATGGTTTTCTAACCTCAGGAGAAATAAAACCCACCCAAAGTTAAAAAAACAAACAAGAACAACTAAGTTCTTCTTAGTGCAGGACTTACTCTAGGATATGGGAACTAATTTTCTCATAGGTCTCTCAATGAAAAGTCAAGTCTCTGCAGGAATACTCTATGGAAGTATCCTGCTTTGTCCTTGTTAGGTTATTGGTAGCTATTGGCTATTTGGAAGTAACAGATATTTTATATTGCTGATTCTGTGTATTATAGAACAGAACTGGAGAAGTCACTGTCTCATAACTTTTTTCTTTCACTGGAAGATCAAGAAGTACTAAGTAGAATTATCCTTTCTTCCTGCATTGAATCTGCAAGATGTGTGTATTCGAACCCCTGTGTGTTTCTCTTAGGACACATATCTTACTTTATTATAGTAACTTATGTACTTACCTAATTCTCTCCACTGAAATCTAGTCTCTTTGCAGGCAGGGGTTGGGATTTATTTATCTCTGTGCTTTCCCCCTGACACCTGGTGGCAGCTGTGCAGTGAGCCTACATTGAATCGGATGATCTGAAACAGAAAGTGTTGCTAGCTTCTGCTTCAGCCTCTTTGCCCCGTCTTTTCCATTCTCTCGCAGTTGGTTGTCTTGACTTGACAATCAGGTCTGTCTCTGTTCATGAGCATGAGATGTGGAGCATTTATTAATAACTTGGGCCTTTGTTCAGTTTTGCTTTCTCCTCTTTGGTTGTTTTGAGCAAGGTTGTCCGGGCATAACGCATTCTCCTTCCTTGCCATCTCTGTATTGCCAATGTTCCAACACGTCCTGGAGTTACCTCAACTATGTCCTCTCCTTTACTCCTGTTCCTTGCCCTAGACCAGGGTTCTCAACCTCAGAACAGTACTTACATTTTGGACTGGATAGTTCTTTGTTGTGGGGGGCTGTCCTGTGCAATATAGGATGTCCTCTACCCACTACATGCCAATAGTATCCCTTCTCCCCAGTCGTGACAGTGAAAAATCTTTTCTCATGTTGCTAAATGCCCCCGAGGGGCAAAATTGCCTCTGATTTAAAACCACTGCTTTGGGGAAAAAAGGGATCCTATGTCTTTTATCCTATCTTTCTTTCCCCTCCCTACTCTTGCTTTTTACTTATTAATTATCCTCACCGGAGGATATTTTTCCCATTGCTTTTTAGAGAGAGTGGGAGAGAGAGAGAAAGAGAGAGAAACATGGATGTGAGAGAAACACATCGATTGGTTGCCTCCTGCACTCGCCCTTACTGGGCTGGGGATCGAGCCTGCAACCCAGGTACGTGCCCCTGACCGTCATCCAACCTGAGACCCTTCCATTTGCGGCTCTAACTACTAGGCAATATGACTAGGGCCCACTCCTGCTTCCTCACTCCCTCTGCTCTTTGAGGGTAGTGAAGCCGTTCCAACCCTTACCCCTTGTCCTGTGGCAGAGTCAGTTCTCTTGCCTTCTTGTGCTCACACCTTCCTGTTCAGACTTTTCCTAAAACAACTCATTTGGTATTTCTTTTTTTCTTTTTTTCTCTTTCTATTTTTTATGTTCAGATTTATTTTGCTTTTAAGAAAAGAAGCCAGAATAAATTAATTTGAAAGCTGAGCTTCAATGTAAACAGTGTTTTCTTTGTCTCTTTCATTTTTCATACTTTCAGGCTTTTCAATTTGGCTGAGACAATTCAAAGCAGTTGATGAGTTTTTTTAATAATATAAACAACCAAAGTCAGAATATCTAATATAACTGCACTGCTGTTGAAATATGCATGACTTCCTTTGTTTTAATATACAGAACTGATGACTGTAAGATGATCTGAAAGTTATGTGACAAAGTTTGAAGAAACAAATGAAAATGAACTAAAGGTGATCTTATGATAACGAATCAACTATNGAGATGATCTTATGAAAACGAATCAACTATAAATGTATTGCTAAATTCAATGCATAGGAATAATGTTATCTCTACATAGGTTATTATTGCAAAAGAAATGTAGTAGTGGCAGAGTGTTGTTAAGAAACAGTTTTCATTCTATTACCATTTTATTGAGCTATTTGATTATTTATTTTAAAATCAAGTAATTTTATTCCTTTTAATTTTATTTTTGTTTGAAATATTACAGATGTCCCTTTTTCTCCCCAGCGACCCGTTCCACTGCGTCCCATCCCCCTCCCCAGTCCCTCTCCCCACCATTGTCCGTGTCCTTGGGTTGTGCATATATGCATATAAATTCTTTGGTTATTCTCTCCCCCTCCACCCACCCGCCCTCCTCCATCCCTCTGACATTCGTCAGTCTCTGATCCATGCTTCCATGTCATTGAGTCTGTTCTGTTCATCAGTTTATTAAGTTCTTAAGATTCCACATATAAGCTAGATCATGTGATATTTGTCTTTCTCTGCCTGGCTTATTTCACTTAGCATAATTTTCTCCAGGTCCATCCATACTGCCCCAAAGGGTACGAAATTCTTCTTCTTTACAGCTGCATAGTATTCCATGTATTTCTCTTTTTCTTGATGTCCATCTTCCCTGTTAGATTCTGAGCTTCTTGAGGACAGGGGGCGAGTTGCTCATCTCTTTATTTCGAGTGCTTAATGTAGTATGTGATGCATAATAAGTACCAAGGGATTCGGTGGGACGTTAGTTTGGAGTCATGCGTGGGAATCATTGTGTGATGAGCTCGAGCACAAAGCTGAGGACTTGCTCAGTGGGTCGTGGTGCAGTGTTGACACAAGTGGTTTTTTTACTTCATCAAAGTTAAAAACTTTTATTCATCAAAGACACCTTTAATAAAATGAAAAAACGAGCCATAGACTGGTTAAAAGAATTAACAACA